TGAAGCGGCACGGTGACGCGGGGAACGCCGCTGCGCGGCAGAAATCAACGTGTAGTACAGACTTGTAAACATTGGGTATGTACTGAAAGTGTAACGCATTTTGACTTTTGATTGTTGTTGGGGCACCTTGGAGATGACAAAAACCGATGTTGTCGCCATTTTTTTTAGGTGCACAACTTGGTGGGAGGGGGGGAAGTAGCGCTGAGGCGCGTTCTATAACATCGCTCATATCTCGTGAACTAGACACGATAGAAACATGTTTTAAACGGCATTGTATTACAAACCGCGTCTGCTTTAAATATTTCACAATGAAAAATCCCATATCAATGATAATAATTGAGTTATTTAACATTTTATTAGAAATTACAAATATAAAATTCATAATACCGTTTATCTACCTTTATAACTCTCATAAAACAATGAATAGTAGGCTACTGTGTTTGGAGTGTATTCTATGTTCAACACACGAATTACAAAAAAATTAAGTGTACTATATTTTCCTCAAAATAATATGTACGGAGTTCTCGAGTTAGCGAGAAAATAATTATAAGCTGTTTTTAACACTAGGATATTTTATATATAAAATTTAAACCTAAATCTAGGTACAACTACCAAAGAAAATGCTTCAGTTTGAAATGTACTCCCTCATATCCGGACACCTTTTAACCGGACATCGGTTTAACTGGACTACACTTGGTAGAAGTGTTACCTCCTAATCCGGATAATTTTTATTAGCACGTCGGTTTAACCGGACTGGATCGGCAGGAAGTGGGCGGTACTGAAACGACTGTTCTCGTAGGAAAGATTTGAGACCAGTGATTACGTGTCTAAATACTATGTTCTCCTAATTTTAAGTCAAATACTGTATAGAGTATACATTTAAACAATCCGTCTTAACGAGATTTTGGGGACATCGGTTTAACCGGAAAAACTGTTATCCGGACTGGCCTCGGTCCCGAGGGTCCGGATAAGAGGGAGTCTACTGTATACGGTTTTTATTAAAATAATATTAAAATAGACTTGGAAATGCTGTACTTCATTTTAAAACTTAACTACCATATAAATTACACATAAGAAAACAATGGATACTATTTCGGTTATCTTGTTTGAAACGGTCTTAATGATAAGGATTTCTACAATTATTAAAACATTTGCAGTAGGAGCAGCAGGATTAAGAAGAAAAGGAAGCACCTGCAATGACAGCCGCTATATAGCAATCACAACTAATCCATCTGCCGTCAAGGACATTAGTAAAATGCCTTGCACACCGGACAGATTCAAATTACACCTGTTACGGTGTAGTGCCCAACTATATTTTTGAGTAAAGTCCTCGACAGCACTTGAAATAGAGCCTTTAGAACTATTCCAGTACGGATTTTTCAAAGACAGCTCAGGAAAATTGTGCCCCCTTCTTATGACCCTGCCCCCGGCTCCTACAAATTTGCTAAAGCCATGTAAATGCAAGACTTGTTCTAGATCAACTTGTAGCTGTTTTTCAAACAAGTCATCCTGCAGATCCTACTGCGAATGTTTTAAAAATTGTAGAAATCCTTATCTTTAAGACCGTTTCAAACAAGATGGCTGAAATAGAGTTTTATAGGTAGATAAATGGTATTTTGAATTTAAATTTGTAATTTCTAATAAAATGTTAAATAACTCAATTATTATAATTGATATGGGATTTTTCATTGTAAAATATTTAAAGCAGACGCGGTTTGTAATACAATGCCGTTTAAAACATGTTTCTATCGTGTCTAGTTCACGAGATATGAGCGATGTTCTAGAACGCGCCTCAGCGCTACTTCCCCCCCTCCCACCAAGTTGTGCACCTAAAAAAAATGGCGACAACATCGGTTTTTGTCATCTCCAAGGTGCCCCCAACAACAATCAAAAGTCAAAATGCGTTACATTTTCAGTACATACCCAATGTTTACAAGTCTGTACTACACGTTGATTTCTGCCGCGCAGCGGCGTTCCCCGCGTCACCGTGCCGCTTCATCGGAAACCTCGCATAACCTTGTAATATTTCGGTATAATTACCATATAAAGTCACTTTAGCGAGTTAAAGGGGTTTTAATGGATAATTTAACGTTATTTAGGGGTTTTTATTCAAATTTTTAAATAAATTGTTAAATAACTCAACTAATATCATAGATACGGGACTTTTCCTGGTTACTTTTTTAAAGCAGATGAAGTTGGTAATACAATGCCGTTTAGAGTTTGTTTCTATCGTGCCAAGTTCACGAGATATAAGCGATTTTCTAGAACGCGTCTCAGAGCATCTTCCCCCCCTCCCCCCCAAGTTGTGCACCTGCTGGGAGGGAGACAACATCGGTTTTTGTCATCTCCAAGATGCCCCTAACAACAATCAAAAGTCAAAAAGAGTTACACTTTCAGTGCATACTCAACCCCCTATAGATGCTGGACTATGAAGCTTGATAACAATTAATAATTAGTCTTATTCAATAGTCCCCATAAGAGTCTTACTATTGAGGTTCTGTAAATGTTTTTAAACCTTTCCAGTTATTGTTGTGAAAGTGCAATGTACTTGTTCAAAAACCTGTATTTATTGTGTAGCTTCGTTTATAGGCGAATAAAGGACCTCATATCATGTGTTTTTGAGTGTCCTGCAAGAAAGCTCAATAAGTTTACCGCACCCCAGATGATTTTACCGTATTCTGGTGATTTTCTTGAGTTCTTTTGTACACAGCTACTTTCACACCTACAAAGAGACCTGAAACCAGCTGATCACTGTGTTGTGAAAATGTTTAAACTACTTTATGTTGTGAACAGTGAAGAGCTAGTTGTGAGAGTGGGGGACTGGGATGTACAGTCCGAGAGAGAACCTCTCCCATACCAAGACACGAGAGTGACTACAGTAAGAGTACACCCTCAGTACGATCGCTCCACTCTGGCCAACGACATTGCAGTGTTGACTCTAGCCCAGGGACTGAGGCTCTACCCTGACGTGCCTCATGTCAATAGCATCTGCCTCCCTCTGCCCACAACGGAGTTCACTGAGGAATGGTAAAAAACCAAATGTGTTAACCTCGTTTGTTGCCTCAAATATTCCTGTCCATCCCCAATCAAAAAACAGGTTTACTATCTATATAAATAAAATTTGAGTTTTGTCTGTACATTGCTCAGAATCATAAATTTTTAGGTTATTTTTACGTTTTATACATTAAAGAAACCGAAACAAGTCTCATCTCAATTTCTGTCTGTCTGTCTGTCTGTTACGGCCAAAGAGCCATTTTACGCGGCCTTCTCTTGAAAAACTAGAGTACCTATCAAGATCCAAATCATTTTAATGTATTTAATGGATTGGCGAGAGTGTCTTTAGCCATTAAAATATGGCCTCACTATTTTGTAAAAAAAATTACGGACGTTCAAAAATCCAGTTTTGTGCAATTTTTGTACGAACAGCTGTTCGGATCAAGATTATTTTTTCTAGCTGTCACTGATATGTTTACAAATACCGCAACCATTTCCGACCACGTTTTGAAAGCAAATCCAAACCAAGTGAGATTAAAAACGTTTTTACTTACAACAGATTTAATTAATCACAAGTGCAATAATTTGTTGGGTTAACGTAAATGAAAATAGAGATTCTTTGTGTATAAAGTTGTTCTTGAGTTTTGATATAACCGGGAAAAAGACCTTGAATCAGTGTTGTATATGGCTGGGAAACTTACATTTTTTTAAATAATTGTTACCAATAGGAGCTTACAAAAATGGTTTAAACTCATTGACGGCACTTCAATGGCGGCTGTGTAAAGTGTAAGTGTAAAGTGACAACTGCAATGCATTATTGTAACAGAGGTTTACAGATTATGCCCAACTCGCTTTTCCAATGTGTCTTCTCACCGCTATGTGCTGCAATCGCTAGACCATACAGCCATAGACCAATTGCCCATCTTTTGGGTTCGTAGGACTAAACAATTATTCATAACCTTCCTTCTAATGTTTACTAAGCATTTTTTATACTTAAAACTGTCAGATACTGTATTTGTTTATATGTAATGGCTTTGCCAGCATATCTGAAAATATGCAAACCAACTGCTGTTCTTTTTCAACTGACTACTATATAAAGATTCCCGAGCGTAGAACGGGCACACAGCTAGTCTTTAATAAATTCTAAACTTGAATATTGCATTTCTTTGTATGGAGGTGCCTATGTGACAAATTTAAAATCTGTTATAGCTTTACTAAAGAAATTTGTTTGATTAATATCCAATGCAAATTTTAATTCTCATTCTCTACCTTTATTTTGTAAGTCATAATATCTTTCTCTTTAGATATTTATATATTTTTAAGGTATTGACTATGTCTTTCTAAGTTAAGTTATAATTCAGGACAAAAAGTTTACAACATTCACAACTATTCAACCAGACAACTGCCCTTAACATTTCTACATTTATCTAATAGTCCAGTCATTTTAGGCAAAAATACCCCTCTACCTGGAAATAATTCAATAAATGATGAAACTTTGCAAGTGTGTTGTACTAGTACCTAGTAACCCCATATCAAAAATCAACAATCAACATGCTGTTCTACGGCAGCCATCTTGGAAAATGGCGGCCGATTTTCACCTTTTGGCCCATATTTCACTAACCGTTGGAAATACAGAAATCTTTTTTATAAAAAAGTTAAAGTACATACAAAAATACATCTTTTACTCGTTTACATATTTGCTCTATCTCAAACGGTTATTGAGAAAAATTGAAATTAATATTTTAAATAAACATTAATTTTGTTTGATATATAGAGATAAATATGTGTCCGTGAACACAATAACTCGAATAATGTTTGTCCAATTTTGATGAAATTTGGCTTGTAGGTGTAAGGAGGGATAACCTTGAATGAGTTTGCGAACCAGCATTCCGATCGACGATGGCAACAGGGTTTTATGTGGTAAAATTGGGTTTTCTCATTTTTGACTATCAAAATACTAAATTTCCCAATTTCTTTCTAAACCATTTTAAAGATCTTAAAAAAATAAATTAATTAATATTTTAAGTTTTTTGTACTCTTATTGGTTACGGAGAAAATTTAAAAATTTTTAAATTTTAAATCCCTATGTTATTCTTATGGAGAAAACTGTTGCAGTTTGCTTGTTTATGGAAATATTTAGATAAAAATTGGTAAATTTGTTTATTTTATACTAAGCCAATAATATTCTACTGACCTTTATATGACTGGACTATACGCCAAACTTTACACTTTTTAAGAAGTGTTTTATTTATTTATCAATAAGATTTTTTTAGTGCTGTTCCCGTTTTTGTAAAAAAGAATTTTGTGAAACAAACCTATTCAAGAAATCTTTTAAAAATTTGATTTATACCAAGTCAAATGATGAAATCAAACAGTTATATTCTTAACTAGCAATAGCAATAGAGCCCGTTGTGGTTAAAAACAACGGTCTCTACAAAAATCGTACATAATAATATGCATCTACAAATGCAAATTGCAAACAACAAAATGTTAACAAAGAAAAATCAAGGAAATAACAATAATAACAATGTGTTAAATTATTAACACATGCCCCATTTGATCAGATCAAGGTTTTTCTAGTGGGGCCTTGATCAGATAAATACCGACAAACCCATTACTATAATAAATCTTTAAAAAAAATTGGATGAAGCTTTCCATTGATCTATCTGTTCTAAAAATAATTCATTTTTTTAAATTTTTGTACAACTAAATCTACAGCTCTACTGGACCGATATTATTAACTGATGGGTCGTTGGAAAGCTCACTCCGTTTCCTTATAGTTTTTCAGATATTTTAATTCGGTTTTCTTCCATTAAAAAAATATTCTTATTATATTTTCTTTTAGTATTGGTAATTTTTGCCAAGAAGTTAAATTTTTGTTTTCTTTGTAGTCTTTTCCACAACAATCATTAGACTACAGGTTTAATTCATTTTGCTATCCTTTCAGAGTAGATTTGTTGTAGTTTTAGTTGAGACTCCCGCCCACACAAAGAAGGTTTGCTCTTCTCTTGGGTGTGTATATTTCTTCGGAGGTTAAAGCAAACTGTTTTTGTTGATTAACAAAAGTGCTATAAGTCGATAAACATTGTTAACTTGGAAATAATTTTGTATTTTAGATCCTAGTAATATATTGTAATTGATTGTATTATTTGTGAAGAAATTAAGATTTATTATTATTATTATTCTCATTAATTGGTGACTAGTTTTAGAATCATGCACAAGTTCTATTGAGCCAAGTACAGAATTTAACTTCTTGCATTCCTACTGTGTACAAGAAACAATGAATACCTAGTAATCTTTTAAATATTGTCCATCTGAAAAGGCGACTTGATGTTAACTACAGCATTTTTGATTACCCCAATCTTCATACAGTAGACTCTCTCTAATCCTGACTCTTTGGGACCGAGGCCAGTCCGGATAACGGGTTTTCCGGTAAAACCAATGTCCCCAAAAACTCGTTAAAACGGACAGCTTACTGTGATATTCGACTTAAATTCAGGAAATAATATTTAGACACGTGATCACTGGTCTCAAATCCTTCCCACTAGAACAGTCGTTTCAGTACCGCTCACTTCCTGCCGATCCAGTCCGGTTAAACCAATGTGCTGATAAAAGTTGTCCGAGAGATGTCATTTCCGCCGAGTGTAGTCCGGTTAAACTGATGTCCGGTTAAAAGGTGTCCGGATAAGAGGGAGTCTACTGTATACAACATTTTACATCATAATTTTTAATTTTTTTTAGAAAATAAAAACATGTTAGGTCTAACAAAATTTTCACATTACAAAAAAAATTACAACAAATTAAGAAATATAATTTAAAATCGACATTAGCTAAGACATCTAAACCAACCTTGACATCCACATCAATCGCTACATCCACATCCACATCAATCTCTACATCCACATCGACATCAATCACTACATCCACATCCACATCCTTAACAATCTTGATATTTTCATCACTCACTACATCCACATCCACCTCGGCCTCATCATCCACATTGACTATGACATCCTCATCAACTATGGTTACACAAATAAATATCAAATACTTCTGTAGACTATGGAAGTTTCAGGTGATCCACAAGGATGATAAATCTATAAAATAAATTTATCTTACACTTACACACAGGTGCTGGGTGAGTGGATGGGGCAAGGATGCTTGGGGAATGGTTGGCCGCTTCCAGAGTGTACAGAAGGCTGTGGACGTGGGTGTCGTGAGTGGAGCAGAGTGTGAGGCTCGACTGAGACACACTCGGCTTGGCAGACACTACAAATTGGACGACCACAGCTTCCTGTGTGCCGGGGGAGAGAAGAATAAGGACGCTTGTACTGTATGTATAATGTTCTACTTTAACATATATTTGTGGATTAATGGCGTTCACTATATTATGTTAATAAAACACTGATTTGGCTTGAGTCTCGGCTGACACTTGGTGCCTTCGGGAGCGGTCCATCAGCAACTCTAGAAGTCGCTCTTGGGTAGCTACGTGTCATGTGCTTGACATGACCTCAGGCATCCCGAGCACAGAGGCAGTCTTCACCAAATCATTCATTGTTGAATTCCATTCCAGATTAGTGGAAACATAAGGAAGGGCATCTCCAAGAAACAGACAGCTTTTCTTAGTACACAGACGGTTCCCTAATCTATGGAAAATCTGGCATCGGAGTATACAGTTTATCGCACAGAACAGAACTTTCTGCCAGTCTAAAACGATACTGTACCATCTTCCAGGCAGAAATGTGTGGCATCTTGGCTTGTGCCAACCTAGGACTATCCAGATGCTACCAAGACAAAAATATAGTGATTTTATCAGGCTTCTCTTAAGGTCCAGTGCACACAGTGTGACCGTTTTACAACTGTCGTTGCAAACCAGTTGCGCGAGCAACTGTTTTGTGACCTCGGCAATGTATTGCAGAGGGGAGGTGCACATGACGCAACTGGTTGTTGGTGATCTCAAAAACGTTTGAAACCAGTCACAGAAGCTTGGTTTCAGTTGCAAACTGGTTTCAGACGCAACTGGTTTCCAACAGTTGTTGTAATACAGTCACACCGTGTGCGCTGGGCTTATAGCTCTTCACTTGCTTAGTTAGTGGCTAGTGGGGTATACACAATAAGATCCAATTGACGTGCTAGGACCCTGAGTCTAGTCCTCTTGCAAAACAATACAATAGTTTTACCAAAGTGTTTAACAGCATTTTCCACATGCTCAGGGTAACGAGGGAACCCCGCTATTTTGTTAGTCACTGGACATTGGCGGGGCCAGAGGACTTTGCCAGGTTTGGTAATCACATCATGTACATATTGTGGTTATACAGTGATAGTTTTACCAAGATGTTAAGTAATTTGCAGGGTGACGGGGGAGCGCCGCTAGTATGTGAGGGACCCGTAGGACACTGGACGTTGGCAGGACTGGTGGCATGGGGTGTTGGTTGTGCTCAACCTAACATACCCGGTGTCTATGTCAACATCCCCTCCATGGTTCCATGGATAGTACAAACAGTGCAGTCACTACGCAGCAACGCTTCTGCTCTCAGCTTTCTATTGTAATTGATGGTGTTCAATACAAATTTGTTTTTTGAGAAGTGTTTTGATTTTTGTTTAGAATATTTGATACTTTGATTTACCCATTGATCAATTGTTACTATAGTTTTAACCGTTATATAATTTGTACAATACGCCTACTTGTAATTTTCAACATATAAGCTACAGGCTAACTGTACCATTTTTACAGCTACAGGGCTACAGGGCTTTTATATAAGCTGCAGGGTCTTTGTTCTTCAGATTTCAGTAATGTATCTCATGTGCCATCACTATTTCTTCCAGCCCACTTTCGTTTTTTCTGTTATTTTTGTCTGATTAGAGTTTTTTTTTTTTTTTTAATTTTGAAACAACTACAACTCTTACTCAGTGGTGTAGTCAAAACACTTCATTGTGGAAATTCTCACCATCGTCTCAGAAAAAAACAGGTTAGCCTATCAAACAGGATATAGATCTTTTGGAAAAAGCAGAGTAGAAACACTGTACAATTTGTTTTCAACCCACTACACCACAACTACTGCTAGAAACAATTCCTCAATCCTCAGACATAAAAAATAACCACTTGAGAGTAAGCAACTGCACTAGCGAGCAACTGTGAGTAAACTTGGCTAGTTTATAATCGAAATGAAATGAAATGAAAATGAAATGAAATGTTTATTCGTCACATAAGTTTACAAGATTGTGATTTTCACATATAAACATATGACATGTCAATACCACTTTACAATCTAATAATACCTTATGCTAAATTCTTTGTTTTTATCAATCCATAAAACCTAAAGCTAAGTTTTTATAAAATCATCTAGGGAATAAGGACACAAGAGAATGAGATAAGATTTTAGTTTTCTTTTAAAGGATGACATATTTTCTTCAGTTTTAATTTGATCTGGGAGGTTATTGTAAATTTTCCTACCCATGTACCATGGCGATCCTTCATACAGAGCTGTTCTATGCACAGGATATTGAAGATCATTCCTGTGTCGGGTGTTATATTGATGAGTGTAATTTTTCAACATAAATTCCTTATAATTTCTTTTTACAAAGATGCACAGTTGAAAAATATAAACTGCATAAATTGTCAAGAGTTTCATCTGAATAAAAAGGGGGCGGCAAGAGGAAAGTGGTCTGGTATCAGCTAAAATTCTAACGGCAATTTTTTGTAAGATAAAAATATTCTTGGTAATGGGGGAGCTGCCCCATGAGATAATACCATAGGAAGACCTAGACATAAAATAAGAATGATACACAGCAAGAGCTGCATGCAAACCCGAAGACTTATAAACCACCCTTAGACCAAACAGTGCTTTTGCTAGAGACAAGCTAATTTGTATTTGATGATCAGACCATTTTAGATTTTCATTTATGTTTACACCCAGGAATTTAGTATTTGCAGAAGATTTTATGGAATCACCTGATTTTAGTTTGATTGTTATCTCACCTGCCTTCAGTTGTGGATTATGGAAATGAAGAAGATGAGTTTTGGAACAGTTTAGATGTAGTCCGTTTTGTGCAAACCAAGTTATCATGGAATCTAAATCTCGGGATGCAATGTTAGTTGCAGAAAAAATAGAAGGTGCTCTTACTAGCATTGTTGTGTCATCAGCGAATTGAATAATTTTGGAAGAAATTGAAAAAGACAAGTCATTGATGTAGAGGATGAACAGAAGAGGCCCCAATTTAGATCCCTGCGGAACACCATGGGTTACTGAGCTCCATTCAGAAAAATGTTTGACACCGGATTTATCTTTGATGACAACCTGCTGATATCTGTTAGTGATGTAACTAGAAAACCATGAAAAAGATGATCCAGATATCCCATACAATCTCAATTTCTCCAAGAGAATGTCATGCCTGACACAATCAAAGGCCTTAGACAAATCACAGAAAACACCAAAGGTTCTCTGTGATCCGTCCAAGGCCTCCACTGCCTCAGAAACTAGATTGACTATTGCATCAGACGTGCTTCTCTCCCTCCGAAAACCAAATTGATTCTTGTTCAATAAATTGTTTGATTCAAGAAATGGAACAATTTGTGAGAGAACAACCTCTTCAAATATTTTTGAAAACACAGGTAAGAGAGCCACTGGTCGGTAGTTTGAAATTTCTTCCGAGTCCCCCTTTTTAAATATAGGTATAATTTGAGCATACTTCAATTTGTCGGGGAAGACTCCTGTCAGCAGTGAAATGTTGATAGAATGAGTGAGTGGTTTTATAATTGAAGAAGCCAATGATTTTATTACATTTGTAGGAATTTCATCCCAGCCAGTTGAACTTTTATTCTTTAATCGATTGATGCAGGAGATAACATCGGATTCAGAGACAATCTTAAATTCAAATGCATGTGGGACATTTAGAGTTGCCATTTTTGCTTTGGCTATTGAATCTGCCACCGAAACCTGGGACTGAAACTTATTTGCTACACCAATGAAGTGATGGTTCATGCAATCAGCTACTTTTATAGGATCGTCAATAACCTCCCCATTAATTTTGATTCCTAGACAAGGTTCTGTTTTACAATTTGTACCGATTTCTCTCTTTACAATGCTCCATGTTGTTTTACCTACATTATCACTATTCTCTAACAAATTTAAGTTGTACCTCATTTTGGCTGCCCAAATTACTTTCTTAAAAACCTTCTTGTAATTTTTAAAGTATTCTAAGAAAACAGGATTTGTATTATTTCTAGAAATTTTATAAAGCTCCCATTTTCTTTTACTGGATATTCTAATACCTTTTGTTACCCATTGATTATTTCTCCCATTTGTTGACAGAGATTTCTGTTTAATTGGGCAATTATTCAAAAAAGAATCATAGAATATTCCAAAGACATTATTGAAACTACCATTAGAACTAAGGTTTGACATGCAATTAGTCCAGTTCTCTTCAATCAGACCGTTTAACATACCAAGAACGTTTTCCTTCTTTATGACCCGCTTCGACAAGTATTTTTTTCATTGGTTAGGCCTTATTTCATTTCTTTGACAAATTACCTGACCTAAGTGGTCAGATATCCCAAAGTCCACTACTTCACAAACCTTATCAATACTATTTACATTTGAAATTACATTATCAATACAAGTGGCTGTAGTTGGTGTTATTCGAGTATACTCCTTGATCATGGCATTGTACCCAAAAGACTGAAACAATAGTAGTTTACGCAACGATTGCGTTAAGTGAGTCTTTACGACACGAGTAGAAGATTTAAGGCACGAGCCTTGGCTCGTGCCTTAAAAACTTCTACGAGTGTCGTAAAGACTATTAACGCGAGTTGCGTACACTACTTTACCTACGACCGTTTTTTAATTACTATTAATCTGGATTTAATTACTAACAATAACTACTGATAACTTTTTAGAGAGGTTATGTTTTCGTGTATTGTCATTGCCACTGAAAGTGATGCAACGACTTGTTGTATAATCAGCTGATTTCCTGTAATTACGTGTTTGTTAAACTTCGTTAAATATTACATTGCTAGCAGCATTCTTACCATAAATAATATTGTATCAGGTACAATTCGGCAAATATTTAATTTATTTTTGGACTTCCACCAACTTAATTAAGAATACGCGAGTATCAACATGAACAAGTCGGATCAACAATTAAATTGGTCAACTGATCAGCTGATCAGCTGATTAGCTGACGTTCGAAGCATTACAATTTTAACTCTTTTCTCTCAATACTTGAACCTCATTGGTCCGTTACCTGTGTGGATATGAGAAAACTATGCGGATATGAAATGAAACTATGCGGATATGAAAGTAAACAGCTGTAAAGTGAAACTTTTCAATTCTAAGAACTGGATAGAAATGGCTACTTTAAAAAACGGTCGTAGGTAAAGTTTTAAACCTAACACATTTTTCATCATCAATTTGCATGTCTATATTAAAATCCCCACTTATGTATATTGGACACAAATGTTGTTCTGCCTCAAGGTGCTGTAATAGTTTTTCAAAGCTTGAGAAAAAAATCTTTAGGTTTTGGTCATTCGGAGTCTTGTAAATTACAATGTATATTGTTTTGGTTGACTTTTCATTACTCATTGTTTCAATAGCAGTGCATTCAAAAGCTTCTTCAATTGCCATAGAATCAATATCTTTCCTTTCTTTAAAAGTGATATTATTTTTTGCAAAAATACATACCCCTCCCCTACTTTTTACATTTCTGTGGTAAACTGAGGCTAGCTTATAGGAGGAAAAACAGTTAGGCAAGTGAACATCATTTGTATCCATCCAATGTTCTGACAAACAAACAATTTCTGGTTCAAGTTTTAAATGATCTAAAGTAACTTTCAAGACAACAAATTTACTTAAACTTGATCCCTGAATATTTAAGTGAGTTAACAAACATTTTTTTAGAATATTTTTTTTATATTTTACATTAAACTTTACATTTTTTTAATTGTTTTGGCTTATTTACACGTTTATCTAAAGCTAAGTTACATACACTTGGGTTGCTGACGTTAAGTTTTTTTGAAGATCACTACTATTTACATTAGTATCTACACTACAGGTACTACTTTTATCAAAAGACATTTTGTCAGTAGAGGTTGTTGTCACACCTTCAGTTGTGTTGACCGTGATGTCTGCTGAAGCACCACTTCCTGACTCATCGGTTTTGTTCATGGCATTAAAGATGTTAAGTTTTATTTTATTTACAAAATCATTGTAAGAAAGCCCACTTCGGAGAGTTCTGGAAGAGTTCTCATCATTCACTACTATGATCACTTTGGCATTTGTCCTTTGTTGCAGCTGGCATATTCTGGTTACCATGTGCTCGACAGGAACATTATCCCTGACACAGCCCGCTGGTGAACAAACTATTAACTTTTGGCCTTTCTGTCTTACGTCCTGTTCCAGAGAATCAAAAGCTTTGTCATAATCCCTGATGTCTGGTTTACTGTAATATTTAGGTTTGGTTACTAATCCATATACTGAAACTTTGTTAATTTTTTGATAAGTTAGGTGTGAGTGTACAAAATCTGTTGTTAAGGGTTTCTTGAAATGTTTTTTAAATGCTGTCGCTACACCTGCACTCATGTGCCTGTCACTGTCAACGTCAGCAGAGATACAGTGAACAAAAGCTACCTCTTCTTCATCTCCTAGCTTGTGTATTGCGGCATTCATGTCTGCTTCGACAACAATGACAGGGTCATCGTCAGAGGGTAGTCTCATCTTCTGTTTGTTGACTGTGGATGGATTGAAGCAGCAGTCCTGGAGTGATTTTAGAATTTCTTCAGCAATCTTCCTTTTGCCCTTCTTGTTGAAGTGTAGACCATGGTTCGTGTATAGGTGACGAGGCAAAAGATGAAGTTCTAGCAGTTTATTGTTCCCCTTTGAGCAATTCATTTTTGCAATTAGCTTATCATTTATGTCACTGATTTTGTTGTCTAATCTCGGTTTGTCGTGGC